ATGAGGTAACATTACACAGAGCCAAGTATCTGCTGCTTTGTTCTGCTGTGGCTCAGCAGAATTGCTGGAGCTCTGGGTGCCTGAGGGCTTCACCTCCAAGCACTTAAAAAAAACAAATTGCTTTGGAAACAGTGGTACTGAAGTATCTTCTCACATGCTGGGGTGCTGCCTGTTCCTCACTTCTGCTGCACTGCTGTGTGCCAGGGGCATCCAAGCAAGGAAAGCAGGTGTGGGAGCAGCTTCATCTGCAAGTGGAAATGAGCTTCACCTGCAGTGAACTTGTTCCTTATGCTTCATGTCATGGAAACATGAGAACTGTATTTTTGGACAGAGAATTTCTAAGCAGTCTTATAAGGGATTTTTTTTTTAAGGAAAAAGAAAAGGTGCAAGATTAAGTGCATGTTTATTTGTCCCAGATCAAAGGTTTTGAACACTAAGGTCACCCTGTCTTGAGTGGACCCTCCTCTGTCTGCAGGCAGTAGAACTTCCTGCACTTTTTCTCTTTACCATTTTACTGTAACTCTTTTTTTCCCCTAGGAGAAATACCTGTACAAAAATTATAAGCAATTAAATATTCAAGCCATAAAATCATGAGTGTGGGAAGACCTGCTTCACGAGTTTTAACATTTCTGTGTAAAATGATGTTTGTATGAAATATTTTCATGGTAGAAAGAATATTTAAACAAAAAAGCTGTAGTAAGATCTAAACCAGATTTAAAGGGATGTCTTTTTGTAGGATGCAAGTGTAATTGAATACCAATAAGTAGATAATTTTTTTTTTTTAGGGGAGATGCAACAAATGATCCTTAAAATTACAAATGGTCATTTTTGCTATTTGGGGAAGTATTTATGCAGCATTACATGCAGCTGCCATAAATAATTGCAGTAGCAAGGCTAGTCACATTTTCAAGATGTACCTCTTAGCCTCCCTTCATGATACCATACAAACGACCCATCCCTCCTTCCTTTAGATCCCCTTCTAGAAAACTTTTCCTACTGCAGCTGTAACAAGTTTAACTCTGAGCTAAGAACCAGACTAAAATTGTGTATTACTTAACAGTTTCTGCTAGGCCTTCTGCTATTTTAATACTCTTTAGCCCATAATTACTGGGTGTCTCCGTTCTGAAGAACTAAGTGCTAAAGAATAATCTTTGGGGTAAGCTTATACATGTGTTAACAGTTAACCCTGGAGTATTCAACTTGTGTACAGTACTTGATAGGTGTTTTATGACATTTGTACTCGAACTATGAGCCTTACTGAACATCTGTAAGTTTATTCATGACTTTTAAAAAATGGATAACTCTAAGAAAGATGTTTACATGACTGATGTTTGCCCTTCTTTCATGTTATGAATGGGGTTTTTATAGTGTGTTTGGGCATATGTGCAAGGAAGCAAGAAAAGTGTTTCTGGGGAAAAAGAGACTTGACAAACATTTGTAATAAGTGAATTTTAAAGATTGCTTTAATTGCGCTATGAAGGCAATGCAAAAATAAAATATTCAACAGAAAAACATTGTTTCTCTTTGTTATTTGTGTGTCAGAGTTTTGGGCATCCTCTGACCTCTCCCCCTTCCTTGTGTCTTGTGTGACCACAGTTTTTGCTGATGCACAGGAGCAGGATTTCACAAGTTAAACACATCCAGGCCACGTTATGTAAATAGTGAATGAACACCTGACACCACTTTTCTGTTTTTTTCTGTCACCTCTGCTGCTTTTCTTACTCGTCTTTTTCAATGCAGGTAACACGGGCATCAGTTGTATTGTGGTACGGAAGAACATCCCACCCAAACTGTTCTTTTAAAGTGTGGTGTATTTTCCTCTGAAGTAGTGGGAAGGTGCAACAGGGTGCCTTCCAGCCAGGTAACCTATTCCTCTGTCTCCTAATTCCATGTACACGTCCTGCTGGGTGAGTGGTGAGGAAGGGGGCAGCGCTTTCAGTGCCTGGCTGCCTTCCCCTTCTCTGTGATCACAATTGGCTGAGGTAACTGAGCCTCTCCTGCCTGTGCTGTGTGTAGGTGTGCAAAGATTGTGCCTTCCCCTCTCTGCAAGGATGCAGAAGTGACATTGCCACTTGACCTTCACAGTTGTAAAGGGCTGGGAGGACGATGGGTGCTTGGTGCATGTTTGCAAGGTGTGTGGAAGGTGACACTGGGATTGTAGATGGTGCCATGTGCTGGCTTCACCCACCGTGGCTGTGTTCCAGTCTGGCCCTGGTGTGATAACCCAGTACACTGTGGAGCTGCAGTGGGTTTATTTAAAGAAAATATATCTGACCTGTGACATCTCTCAGGATCTTTTGCTTTTGCAAGATTTTCATGTGCCAATGGTTATTCGAGCTAGGGATGAGAGGGCAGAGAGAACAGTGATCTTACAGCAATTTGCAGGTTAACTGGGAAAAAGGAGTCCTTCTTGAATGTGCAGCAAAGCCAAATTTTGGGGCAAGATGGAGGGATGTGTGCTGTTTTGTGTGCACAGTCTCTGTGTGCGAGACATAGTGGAAAACCATTTTCGCAGACAACAAGAGATGCAGAATTCAGAGCTACGGAGCTCTCCGAAGGTAAGTGCAGCTGCCAGGCGTCTTTTGGCAGAAGCAGCGCTCTGGAGCGCACCGCTACCCGCACAATGATCTGTGTAAGAAGTAGCTGCTTCTTCGCCTCCAAGAAATTTAGAGCGTGGCAGCTTCCAAGAGGTGAAGAATGAAGGCCTAAAGCACCGGGCTTGTGTGCGCAGCTTTCAGACTGCTAGAGGATGGTGCCTCGCCACTCGCCTGCATGTTAAATTGACATTAGCATTCGTATGCAAGGAGTTCATGGACAACTTTCCTGTGTTTCTACCTAGTCCTCCTGTAGCTTTCCATGGAATATCTTGCACTTCCCTTCAGACTCTCAGATGCAGAGAAGTCAAGAGCAGCTGCAGAAAAGAAGGGCACCGGTGATTTTTTAGGAGAAGCAAGAGCATACACAGGCAACTGTTCCTGTGAATGAGTAGCTGCTGGATTTTGCAACTCTCTTTACTGCGTGCAAAAGCCCGGTGCTCTGCTGCTTCATTCTTTGCTTCGGTGATCTGCACAGGACTGAAGCTGAGCGAGGGTATTCAGCTTTGTTGCTTCTCAGCATCTGTGCTACACGTATGCTGTGTGCTGTAGACCTGTGAGCTGATTTCTTAAAAATGTTTCAGGGATACGTAGGCTTTAGTGGTGTGCTTGTTAGGATTTGTCTGGCAGTGCTTGGGGGGGTGTTAGAATAATAGAATTGTTGATTCATCAAGGTTGGGAGAGACATTCAATGTCAACCAGTCCAACCATCCACCTCCCACTACCCCTGTAACCCCTAAACCACATCACCCAGATGCTTCTTGAACATTTCCAGGGATCATGTCTCCACTGCCTCCCTGGAAAACTTATTCTAACACCTAACTGCCCTAACAGTGAAAATTTTTTCTAATATCTAATCTGAATTTTCCCTGTCTCAGTTTAAGGCCATTTTCTCTGATCCTCTCACTGCAGACACAGCAGGACAGACTGACGCCCACCTTAATAGATCCTTCTTTGAGGGAGTTGTAGAGAGTGATGAGGATCTCCCTGAACCTTCTCTTGAGACTGAACAACCCCAGCTCCCTCAAACATAAGATGTGTTTTCTACACCTTTCATGAGCTTTCTTGCCCTTCTCTGGACAAAATCCAGCACCTCAAAATCCTTTTTTAAAGTGGATGGCACACAACTGAGTGCAACACTTGAGGTGTGGCCTCACTAGTGCCAAGTAAGGGGGATGAGCACACTCTTGCTCATTCTGTATCAATGGCACTCCCAAGCTCTTTTCAGTCGAGCAGCACAGGTTCTTTTGCTTTTTCCAACAGTGGGCACCGATGTGCCAGGGGAACCTTTGCCTGTCAATCTAAAGAACTGATCACACTAGTCATTAACAGTATGTATGGGGTTTCATGGAATCTTACAATCACAACATGGCTCAGATTGGGAGAGATCTTAGAGATTATCTAGTTCCACTCCCCAACCACGTGCAGGAACACCTTCTACTAGACCAGGTTACTCAAAACCCAATCCAGCCTGGCCTTCAACACTTTCAGGAATGTTGCATCCAGTAAGACCTCTGAGCAACCTGTGCCACCTTCCCCAACTCACAGTGTTGCAGATGTATGTCGTGTGAAGCAGCAGTTACAGAGGCAGGGGAGAGGAAAAAAAATAAATAAAAAAGGCTCAGTTGTTGTAGGGAAGGGATGGGTGGAAGGCCCAGTCCCGGCAGCCCGAGGGTGCCCGGGGCGGGGCGGCCGCTCCTGGCTGCAGGCGAGGCGGGAGGAGGAATCCCGTCCTTGTGTGGGTCGCAGCACGGCAAAGGGTTTCCCAGGCTCGCCGGCTTTTTTGACATAGGCTCAGAACTCCCTTCCCCGGACGCGGAGCAGGAGGTCTCCCGACGCTGCCCGGGGAGCGCCGGCCGGGCCGGTGCCGCTGCAGGTGAGGGCGCGGCGGGCGCGGCCCTTCCCGGCCGGCGGGATCGGAATGGAACTAGGGGACACGGGAGACGGAGCTGGAGTTGGAGCCGCCCCGGGAGAGGGGCTGCGATGACCGGCAGCAGCCACGGGGAGTTATCGAGGCTCGGTGCTGGCTGTCCCAAGGGAGCAGTGGCGCCTTCCTGGAGAGGTGCGGAGCTTAACTTTCAGATGGGATAGAACCTGAGCACCCCCTGCGCCTCTGTGGGCAGCAGAAGCCCCTAAGGGAGACAGTCAGCGGTGGGGTCTGAGGTGACGATGGCGCATTCCGCTCCAGAACCGTAGGGAATGGTGTCGCAGTCACCTGGCACGCAGCAGCCCCGGGGATCTCCCAAAAGGCCGCTTGCCTTCGGACACTAAGGAGTGAGCTCTGTGCTCCTGGTCCCAGTGCTGCGCGCCAGCCGATGCTCGCGGAGGGTTGATGATCCTGTCCCTTCTCTCTCTCCTGCCTAGGAAGAGCCGTTCTCCGACCCTGGAAGCCCTGGTGCAGCTCGCCAGTCTCCGTGTTCAGGGGTTTATGTGGGAATCAGAGCAGAATGGATCAGTATCGATATTTCATTTTTAACCAAAGGAACATAGTCGTACTGGGGATGTTCCAGATTGCCTTCAGCACCGTCTGTGTCACCAGTGGGTTCATAGATGGCATTTTCAGGACAGAGTCTCAGCTGGGCAAAACCAGAGCTCCAGTTTGGGCTGGCATGGTAAACTTCTGCTATATTTTCTATGCTTTGTTTTGCAGTGTTTTTTTTTTTTTTCCCCACTGCTACCTGCTAGTACTCATATTAGGGGTAGGAGGGAAGCCAAGGTTTCTTGCCAGCTCTTCCCTTGTTTTATGCTTTGAACTCAATTAATAAAAGTTTCCTTGTAATGGTATAGACAGAAGAGTGCAAACAGACTTTCCTCTGAAGGAACTAAATTAAATACATTTCTGCTGGATAATGTAGAAAATGAGGCATAGTGACAATTGACAGGGGTTTTTTTTGCAGAAGCATAGTGACCACAGAGAGGCCACCAAAGATTAGGAGGGGAACACCTCATCCTCTGTTCAGGCAGATGAATATCTGTGTGCTGATCTCTGTCCCACAGCACAGTGCCCCTAATTTTGTTACTATAGAGACGAGTGGGCAAGAGGTATCCCTGCTCCCTGGCTTTCAGCACCCTGATTTACCCTGCTGAGCCATTCTACAAGGAAATTACACTGAAGAGCTCTTTCCAGGCCAGAGGCTGCCTATTCCCTTTCATTAGTGTCTTTCTTTCCTTTACAAGATGCATATGGACTTGGCAAAGCAATGTGCATTTTTAGAACCTTAAATCAGACTTATTCAATCAGTTTCATTATTTTACCCGACCCATAAAGCTCTGGTCAGTGGTAGCATGGCTGTGTGTGTAGAAAGTGGGCAAGATGCATGTCACCCATGTCCTGCATCCAGGAGATGCTGCAGAGGGCAACAGAAGAAATGAGCAATTCTCTTCCCATTTCTGATGCAGCAGTTACTCTGATCCGAACCTTGAAAATGCTTTTCATTATGTTTCATTGCTCTGTAGCAGTTTATCTTCCAAATCTGATACTAGTCTCCCAAGCTACCATCTCCTTTTGTGCTCTGCAGGTGATGGGAGTCCCAGGCGTCCTGGCTTTGTTCTCCTCGCAGAGGAAGAATCCAGTTCTTGTAAGCTAGAGGGGCAGATGGGTGTTTGTGTGTATGGGGCAGGGGCAAAATGTTGGGGCAATCAAAAACAGTTTGAGGAGGGAATGAGCTGACTGGTCCTCCTGCAGAATTAAAAGCTTATTTCTTTGAGTTATCTGCACAAAAGCTGCTGTCTTTATAACCAAGAGGAGGATGCAGTGTTACCTTGCTTTCTGCTGCAGCAGACAGGCACTGGGCCTAATAAAAAGCAAAACTCTGTAAAAAAATTTCATTTCAATGCTTTTCTTTTGGTGGTCCTTCATGTTGTTAAGCACTCTGTACACTAAAATTTGAAATGAGTTTAAGAGGTTTGCATTTCCTAGGTAGGTTTCTGCAGCCGTGTAAACTCCAAGGGAGGATATTGTATGTAAATTAGAGATCTCTAAGGCAAATTCTTTAAGTAGCACCTCTTCAGGACTCAGCTGTAACTCAGAAACTCAATATGATGAAAACCTCTACTTCTCTGTGTTTGGCTTCTAAGTGACTGTTGCTCCTGGGGATGCTGTAGTGTTATGGTAGGTCAAAGGCTACCATACAAGTTGTAATGCTTGTATTTGCTCAAGAACAGCTTTGATTCCTGCTCCCTTCTTTTTCTCACTAAAATTCTCTGTCTAGGTGAATGTACTGATAGTTTGTTCCATAATCTCTTGTGTTGCCATCTTCATTGTAATAGTTTATAGCTCCCTCACACTGAACTATGGTGAAGAGGAGGAGCTGAGTTCTGCCCCAGTCCATGTTATCCATACTGTAAGTATTGATATCATGATTATTACTGGGGAACATGCCACCCTTAATCTGCAAGCAGTGCCAGTGTGGCTTACAAACAGAACCAGACTTCTATGAGGGGTGACACTAGGTCAGGTTGGCTGCTTTTGTTTCTTAGTGCAAAGGGGTGGTGTGGGCTGAGCCATGAAAAATACTGGTGCTGCTCAGGGAAAAGTGCTGAGAGTATCCCTGACCTGGTTTGAGAAAGTGGTTGCAAGGCTGGAATCTTTCCAACAAGCACCTCAGGTGATGAAATTACAGCAGTTACAGGTCAGCTAGTTAAACTTGGTGTTAGTTCAAGTGTATCCTCCACAGTAAAGCAGTAGAGAAGGAATGAAGCCTTTTTGTATCTCCAGTCTACAAGCAATTGATTGCTGGGGGGGTAAAGACATTCTAGAGAGATGAAGCTGATAATTAGTTTATTGCAGGACAAATCAAAATGCCTGACTGCTATAAGGTGCAGTGCAGCAAGACAATGTTTCTCATATTCAGTTTGAAGAAGAGCAGCCATTCCTTAAGTTTTTATTCATTGTTAAACCCAGTGCCATTGCATAGCATCTCACATTTAATCAGCAGCCTTATTTCACTGTTGGCTCTATTTAAGGTTCATACTTGGTTTGTTTTTCAGAACACAAAAAAATCTTAAGTAACACTGACTACAAATCAATCTCCTATCATGCAATCACAGCATTCTTGCAGTCATTAGATTATTTTTTGGTGGAGAGTGTAATTTTTTGAATATGGCTTTACCGTCTCCTTTTATGTTTGCAGAGGTTCATACTCAATGAAGTTGTCAAGGGTGCTAACATAGCCATGCTGGCTGTATCCATCTGCAGTGCCTTTTGTGTGCTGGCCATGGCTTACTTGGGATGCCGGAGTCTTCCATGCTGCTCCTGCTATGACAGTGTAACTGGGATGGTGAGTGAGTAGCCCAGGGCACAGGTTTATTTCTACTGAGTGTTGGTGGGAAGGGAAGAAACCTGGGAGAAGGTGTGTTTTTCTGCAATAAACCTAGTCTGAGCTCCTACCTCAGTCATGCAGGGCTAATTCTAAGAAATTAAGTGGGATATTAGAAGGGTTTTATATTTCTTATATTTTTTCCTTTAAAGGAAAAAATGTCTATCTTATTTACAGTCTCATGTAAGATCTAATATAAATTATCTCTGTTTTGCAAACCATTTGTGCTGAAGCTACTGTGGCCCTGTTTCCCATAAATTCCTGCTATCCTCAAAAACAGTTCCTCTCATCTTTAAGCCACCAGTTGCTTCTGGTGCAGCATTAAAAAGACTTACTGATACTTACATGCTGGAACTTCAAATCCAGTAATAAAAGTACCTCCAATGCTGTGTGTGCAGTGTTGGGGTGCTGACATACGTAATTTACTCCTCATCTATAAGGACTCTGCCTCAAGTGGTGGGGCCCACAACATCTCTGCTAAGTGAGCTTAGTAAATAAATAAATACCAACTGCTTCTCTGCAAGAGCAATTCTGAATATGTGTTACTAAACATGTACATCCAACCATTTGGTTTGGTAAGGAATTAAAGAGTGTAGGCCACAAGGCAGCTGTTCCTGACTAAAGTCACTGAGTGGGTAACATGAGGCTGCTTTAAACTTTCAAACTAAAACATGTTAGGAGGCATGGACTGCACAGACTTTTAAAATAAGTTCAGGTGTATCTTCTTGAACGAATTTCCAGGTGAGGTATTTGATGGTGCTGTTTTTTCTGTAGGAATGGTTGCAGCCTAGTGAGGACCAAAATCAGTCTGTGGAAATGATTTGTGCTGTAGAAAGTGAGTAACTCTTTTGCCTCCATGTATCTGGATGATCACCAGGGATGAGAAAGGAACATCCTGAATAAGGTTTACATCCCAGGCCAAAATCCTGATAACCAAAAGGAACTCAGGATTTTGTGCAAACATCTATACCATGTTTAATGGTTGTCGCTTTCTTTTCTCACACAGGCCCTGGGGGGAGAATTTTTAACTTCACAGATGGGTTTCCAGCCCAGGATGTAGATGCAGAAGAAGACACATCCAAACCTCCACCATTTATCAGAATGACTTGAAAAAGTGGCCAAACATTATGTTCAGATGTGGCAAGAGAGATGCAATAAGTTCCTAATCTTAAAAGATCATTATGGACTTTTCCTTGGCCATTTGAAAAACACACACAGAGTGAACTAGTGAATGCCCAGCACTGAGCAGAGATCACAGAACAGAGGGAAACATCTGCAGCTGATTTTGAACTTTCAGACTTCGTACAGTGAAAATACCTCATTGCTTCTGGAAAGTGACAGCATTTTTTAGTCTGGCTTTTGTACTTAAATCATGTCTTATTTCACTAGAATTCATAATGTAATTTGTGTAGCAGTGCTAGCCTTAGGCATTTAAATATTAAATACAATTCCTTTTTCTTCAACTGCTGTCTTGATTTCTCCCTCTTACTGCATGAATTATTTGGATGATAATGAAGGATGCACTTCATCCTTGAGTTTCAGAGTGTTTTCCTTTTCTTCTTGGTAGGAATGGGGACAAGTAAAGTTTTTATATGAAACCTTAATAGCACCATTCAGGTACCTCTGTCAAAATGTGGCTGCTGTGGGGCATACATGTGTCAGTACTCTTAGTTTTAGCACTGAATTGTAACTATAAAGTGTGGCAGGAACTGGAGCTGCAATAGCTCCTCTTATGAAGTAACTTGAATACTCTAAATTTAGTTCAAGTTTTCCTATTTCAACTTTGTAGATTGAAAGTTTAAAAGAAATCCTTATTTTAGGGCCTATTCTGCTAAAATTTATTACAGATCTAGAAAAAGTTTTTTTGTTGTATTTTCTCTAGACCGAGAAACTACAGCTTCCAGTCAGGTTCTGTCATCTCCTGAAGTACATAGAATGCCCATATGTACTTTATGTTTCACTTTTGAAATGTCAAGTGTTTATCTTGCCTGCGGGCATTGAGCAGGGAGTGGTAGATGACTTAACCCTTGGTACAGATTAACACAGGATTTGAACAGAGCCTGGAAAATAAGTTCCTGTCTTGAGAAAGTGGGCAGTAGGATAAGTGATACTCAGCATAAGGCATGGAACTCCAGGAATGATCTCATATCAAACTTCTGTAATTGCAGCAAGTAAGGTGCTTTTCATGGTCCCAAGAGAAGAGTTGTTCTTGATTTATTTTTTTCTCTAAAGACTGAAGTCCTTTTCATAATGCTGGTAAAGGGATTCCAATACCTAAATTGCTTTAAACCAAACAGGGTGGATTTAGATTAGATATTGGGAAGAAATTTTTTGCTGTGGGGGTGGTAACACACTGGCACAGATTGTCCAGAGAAGCTGTGTATGACCTATCACTGAAAGCTCGAGGCCAGGTTGGATGGGGCTCTGTGCAGCCTGGTCTAGTGGAAGGTGTGCCTGCCTGTGGTAGAGGGCTGAGAACGAGATGATCTTTAAGGTCACTTCCAAACAATTCTATGATTCTGTGATAATTCTGCAAAGATGTTACACAGCTTTTTTTTGTAATCCTCAACAGAGAAACACTCTTAGCCACATATTGAGGAAGTCCCAGTGAACTTTGGCACCCCTCTGTTTGTAAGGTGCTTGCCAAGTGTACCTGTTGCTGACTTTAACCATTAAAATTATTAATGTCTGGGAATATCTCAGATTGAGAAAGCAGCCCTAAACACCAGGCTCCCTCCACACCCGTTCTCAGGTCACAAATTGCTTCCACCTCTGCCCAGCTTCAGCCAGGGAAGCTGTCCCCAGCTTTGGATCCTTGGGCCAGCAGCTTAACTTGGGCTTGCACGTCCTACTCTGGCAACTGGAGGCTTAATTATGTGCCACAGTAGCCAAATTCTTCCTGACTTTGGTTCTAAATACCTTCATTACCTTGCCTGCAGAGAGACATAATAGTTCAGGCTGGAAGCGATGTCTGGGGATCACCTAGTCCAATCCCTTCCTATGCCAACCAAAACACAGCTGGTGTCTTGTTCATTTGAAGGTGTTAATATTTGAATTGCTTTAATATAATAATTCAAATGTTGTGATTCAAAATGGGATGCTGTGCTCTTTCCTCTGAAATAGTGCCTGTCAACAGGCATCAAAGCACCCACTGTAACTGCTCTCCCTGTCCTCAGATGCTTCTGGCAGAGCTCCACACCATCTGCAATGAAATGCTGGGGAGTTTCCTCTTGTTTAACACAAACTGCTGTTCTTGTACATGAAAAGAAAGTCAGACACCCTCACAGGGTACTGGGCTCACTGATAGCTGAAAGCAGTGGCTCTGGTCAGTCTAAAACAGATTTTGAATTGCTACAATTTCATTGCTCAACCTCTGCATAATTTCTATGAGTTATGGTCCCATCCAGAAGTGCTGTTCCATAACCAGTCCTTGCAGTGTGATGTACTGAGCATAATTTGACAGAATTTGTCTGCTGGTTGAACAGGGCAATTTGCTTTTACTCTGAGTGTGCAGAGCAACACATCACCAGTCCTTTTTCAAATGCTGTGCTGTTTCCAGTGGCTCAGGCAGATAATTCTTGGGATGAGGCTGGCAGTGCCACCATGGCTGCTGCAGGTCAGGTCCTCCTGGCGCAGCTCTGGGACACAATCCAAGTGTGAAAGGCTTTGAAGGCCTTTGATGTGGCATTAAGTGACAGGCATGGCAGGTGAAACAGCCTTAGCTGTTTCTTCGTTTGGCTGTGAAACAGCCTTAGCTGCACATACTGAAGCCATAGGGTGTAAAAGAGAAGTATGCTCTATGCTACTTCTGAATAAAAATGTATGCCATTGATTTATCAGCAGCTATAAGATGGTTTATTTCTTACACAGTCCTTCCAGTGATGCAACTATTGCAGGTCACTCATAAACAGATGATTTCAACAGTTTTTTCTACAAAAGTGGGGGTTTCCAGAAAAATGACAGGTGCATAATGTAAATTGGTGGAAACTGATTATCAGTTTAATGTTACTCCTCTTTGGTTAGTGTTGCAGAAAATGTATTCCTGACTGCAGTTTCCGGTGCTATATTTAGCAGCCCCTTCCTCATGTGAGCTACAGTAACTTCCCAGAACCTGCCTGCATTTCCAGGGTTATTCCATGGCTTGTGTCACCCCCAGCTTTCACTGGTGGAAGTCAAGGTGGCGTTATGGACCCCCGTTATGGACCCAAGCATTTTGTGCTCACCTTGTGTCAGCATTGCTTGTATTAAGTCAAAGACAAGGCATTTACATCAAAAAAAACTTCTTTACCTCAAGTAGGCTGAGACAAATATTACCCTGTTCCCTGACACACAGAACAAGGCACACAATATCCACGGGTGGATAAAGGCAAAGCCTGCCAGCCTCTCCATTAGAAGTGGCCAGAGTTAATCATCCAGCATAATCAGAAGGCTAATCAGGGAAGCTGATTCTGGAAGTTAATGTTCAACTAAGTGCAAAGAATTTTCTGAAGTCATTTCCCCAACAGAAGGGGCAGGAGGTGCAGAGGAGGAGGGAAAGAGGAGGGATCTTAATCGCGGTGAGGATCAGGGAATGCTTTCAGGCACTTATTTGACAACAAGCCCATTTGGGTATATATATATATATATATATATATATAATTA